AGTGAAGTATGAAGGTCGATTTCGGACGGCGGTTTCATGAAAACCGAGCTTCTGGTGCAGTAGCTGCTCAATGGTGCACTCTAGATTTTTTCAGCTGCCTTCTGGCCTGAAAATCGGGATAGTTTTGAAGAAAGTTTTTATCACGAGGGCGCTGAGTGAAGGCGGTCAGCGGGAAATGCGGAATTGGGTCCCGCCTGATGTCTAACTATTGTCCTTTGCTCAGCATTCTTGTCATAACCTTTACACCTCTACGGCGTTGAACAGCACTCATTGTACTTTAATGACCTCAAAAAAAGTTGGTGTTACATAACATAAAACGCCTAGACTCGGTTTCGTGGCAGCCACGAGATTTCGTTCATTTTCTCCGGGGTGGTTTGCTGTCTTCATCTTCGATGCTAGTTGATTGATTGTTGAGGCCCACGTGAATATTATTATGTGGTGGTCCGCCTTCAGTGCACTGTATAAATACACGGATGAGCAGCGGCAAGCAGCATTCCGCTTCATCCGCTTCACTCTGCTTATACGTGCTGAATTGTAAGAAGACTTTCCGTGCGAGACCAGTCAGTGCGGCTCGTAGATAGGACACGCACAGCTGCAGTGTTATCTACTTGCCCATCCTCTATCTATGGCTGGCTATATCGACAATTCAGACTGCTTGACGCAAGTCCTTCGCCCCTTTCCTTTGAAGTCTCGAGAAAATTTTCAGTGTTCGGTGGCAACAACTCATTAGCCACTATTGTACGCTCTTTAACGACCTAGCGTAATGTTCTGAGACGTAATGCCGGGGTCTTGTACCTGGCGCGAGAGGGATTGCCTTGATTTATCTCGTAATCCTTTCTGATGCGCAGATAGAAATCTACTTCTCCTACGTTCTGCGACTTTCTCTTCTCTTCCTCCAGGAATTTCGCTCTTTTTAGAATGGCTGACGTGAAGAAAGCATGTACGGCGAATTTGGCAACGGTTGGACTTGGTAGAACACCCAAGGAGGCACAAAACGGCATAGATTTCTACAAGTAGTGAGTGGAGATTTCAGTGGGCCATTCTCGCTAAAAACCGAACGCGGAAACTTCAGCTTGTTCACTAACCACCAAGATCTCCGCAAGTATTTCAAAGGTGCGGAGAATTTCTCTGCCGACGACGTTCAAAAGAGTGACAGGTACACCGCTAAAATAGCTAGGATGTGACGTTAATTGTACTTTTCCGTTCAGATTTGAGAAACTCGGAACTGGATTGTTGCTGTCGGTCCACATACTTGCAACACAATTGACAACGTGGGGTTTTTTCTTCAAAAGCTTTCAACACTCCGCAATATTTTTGCTCTGCTACAGGAGATGGTGTTTCGCGCCTTCTGTCGCCACACAATTGACAGACATGTCGGCAGGGGCCTAGACCCCGTCTTGTGGAAAGTTTGTTTCCCTTGAGTACTTTTTGATATCATCCATTATCCTACTACTACTGAAAAATCAAGTTTGCAAAGCTCATTTTGAGAAGAATAAGAAAGAGTTTTTGTCTAAAACGTGGAGAATACCTCCACTAACCGACATTTTCCTCACATCGATTCAATCGGAATGGCGATGTTATACGACCATTGATCTACCATCTTCATGCGACAGCGAAAATTGGCTCTGTTCTGAGTCATTAAGATTTCATTTATTTCGAACTTCATTAGTCGAATTTCTATGGTATCATTTAGGCGTTCTGGGGCATCTGGGTAGCATTCCTGGAGAGCCGTGGAGCTAGCGTGGATAAGGGAGCATGGGAGAAGCTGGGGACAATGTTCAACGATGAGTGCCAGCAACAACTCGCAAAGCACGGACTTCCTCACACGTAAAATGGATGGAACATCACACTTTGATTTCTTTCAGAAATGTTTGTTGCTACCCATACGCATGGCTTTATGCACACTCCATTGCCAATAAAGATTTCCACTTTTGTGTTGTCAGCGGTTAGGAGCTACATTTTCTGAATCACATGGTGGGAGCTAAATTTTCTCAATCACTGCTTGAAAATACTGTTTCGAATCCAAGAAAGTAATGGCGAAAGGTATGACTACGAGTAATTATGAAATTGTTGATACGATTTCTGTCGATTACAGTAGCTGTCGCTGAAATGTTTCACGCAGGAAAGCTCACCTTCCAAAAGCCATGTCGAGAGTTTCCCGCTGCCGCCAATCTCTTGTTGCTTCATAGGAAGGTAGCTAAAAAATGTTAGCTGTCTTTTTGTACGTGTACTTGGCACTGCAAAAATTTCCAAAGAGCTAAACAGCGCTTCTTTTGACGGCTGAACTCTGAAACTTCAAATCATGTTAGTGCTGTATACTCCACTCTATTCCACTATATATCCATCGAGTAAAGTTCTCCATATTATAGGCCTATTTCAAGAACCCCGGCTGTCAGAACGATGTATTCTTGTGGAAGCTCAAATTGGCAGTGTACATAATTTCCTTAGGCCAGTGTCCTTTTTTCTGACTGTAACTGTGCATCATCATAGAAAGTTAGCATAGCAGATTGAAATAAATCGCATTACGGACACTTACTTTTTGCGAATGGTCTGACATATGTGAAGCGACACTCTGTCACTGTGTTTGCGTCTATTCTTGACATGGTTCAGAGATTTTTGTATCAAAATGCTGGATTCTGGCAGAGTCTGGGCAGAGTGGCGAGATCGTCATTGGAATGTGACATCATAGTTGTAATAAATACTCCCTACCGCGGTACAGTAGCAGAGCTTAGATGTGAAAATAATCTCAGGTTGCTACATATAGTGCGGTTTTGGTAACAAATATTCAAATGATCTGTGGCGTTTGGAAGTACAAGTCATGTTAGAGGACAGAATTATATGGAAAATGCTCTAGAATGAACCTAAGACAGTAACAAAGGGAGTAAAACGATGGTTTTAGCACGTGCGCAATTATGGGAGTAAAGGATAAAAATGTCACAACAGCCCAGACTTTATATCAGCTGCTCATTAGATGGGTTCTCTCCAAACACGAAGGGCTCGAAGAACTGGGACACTTCCGATCAGAAGATCCACATCACAGTAAACTAAGCTTGAGAGGTTTAAAGTAGCTCAAGTGGTGATGAATACAGTCATGAACCTCTAAGTTCAGCCGATCCACAGTGGTTTACATAGAGCTACAGCTCACTTTCTGATATCCTGAATTCCATTTGAATCACCTTCAGCCGTGTTTTCTTTATGCATTACTAGTCTCAATTTTCCATAGTGTAATTTTTAGCTGAATGAGAAATAATAAAAAAAATGCTCTCTGCGTGCATATGGCTTTCTCATACGCTTTACACCAGCTTTGTGGAAAAACTGAAGACGTGGTGTCGGGCTGCAGTGAGGTTATGAGGCCAATGGTCAGCGCGACAAAAATGTTCGGATATCACCATCGATAGGACTAATGTAGTTTCTTGGAGGGATCCTATAAGAACCACTGGTGCGCTAACTTTACGCTGATTAATTCGATGCTGTTAGTTGCTTCTACATGCCTTGTCATACATCATCATGCCTCATCATACATCTCGAAACTTTGCCCTTGATCAAGATTTTGATGCCAATTTGGAAACATTCGTGAATCTGAACTCCCACGCAAAGACGAAACTCCATACGTGTTATCGTCTAATTCTAAGGACGAGGTGCTGTGGTGGCAAGTGGCACGCTTACTATGAGTGCTGACAGGGTGTCCGATCCTGAATCGGTTCCTTCGCGCGCCAACCAAGGCTTTTACATCGCGAACCCTGCAAATTGGTACCAGATTTGTCTAGGAGGATGATTTGTACATCGGTTGACCTCTGTAATCATCCCAAAAATGGATTGGTCATCCGCGAAGACGTTATCCTTGAGAATTTTTGCTTTACAATTTTGTTTTAATTTTACCCGGTTGCTTGGAGGGAGCATAGTCTGGAAGAATGCGGGTTCGACCGCAGTAACGCAGGCACTAGCTAGTCCACTTACTGCCACGCCATTCGACAAGCGTCACCAGCTGGTCGCGCGCTTTTTCTCTCCCTCCTTTTGCAGCATTTCTAAACAGCCTTTTTCAACAGTATTCTCACCCCTCCCACCGTATTCATGAGTGACGAGCCCAACTAGCCTTCTGACAAGATCAGCATTGAATCGTCTGATGCTCGCACGAGATATACTTCCCGGCTCGCTACGATGAGTACCCAAGACACCTCAAACTAGTTACAAGCTTACAAGGCTACTATCGGAAGGTAAGTTGTAGTTTTGGGAACAACAACATAGCAGGTCTTGACTATGATTTTGCTTTAGACATCCAGAGCATCTATAGAACACTTCCCTTTGGTCCAACCATAATATTGTTGACCTTGAGTATGTTGTGTATAAGACAACAACTATATTAATTTTGGGAACCTCTTCTGCCCTTCGTATAACGTCTGCAACAATGTCGCTTACATCTTAGAGTTCTAGCGTTTTATTGACTGTACAGTATTAGAAATCATTAGTGAGAACTGACGTCTGTAAAAGAGCCTCATATGTTGTATGCTGCTGTCGCCTGGCTCACGTGTGAGGAAGTCCATGCTTAGCGAGTTGCTGTTGGCATTCATCGTTGAAAGTAGTTCCAAGCTTATCCCAGGCTGCCTTCTGGTCTCCGCTCAGAGATGCTCCCTTGCTTTCCAGGTATGCCACCCAGATGCCCCAGAACGCCTGAATAATGAAATTCTAAGGAGATGCAACAGAAGTGTACGGTGTATATTCATAACGTATTGCTGTTGAACATACGATTCCATAGAACTGATGTTAAGAAAAGAAATTCACTCCTACATATTCTAATAATTTCCCATGTAGTATTTCGATTACGCCCTAGTACTGTATCCGCTCATAGTCAAGGGCAGGGGTTCACTCCTTGTACACAAAAAGGAAGTCGCTATGATCTCTTCGATTGGCTACACTATTAAGCGTTTTCTCTTGACTTTTCCAATTCACCAATTTATCCGCTTCTGTTCACTATTCAGTCGCAGGATCAGCTATTTTAGTTCTCATAGAAATTCACAAACCTTCCACAAGGAGGGGTCGAGCCCTCGGCCAACATGCCTGTCAATAGTGTCACGGCAGAATGCGCGAAATACCATTTCCTGAAATTGCGCGGAACTTTCTTGGCGCTCATGTGGCTGGTTGTTGGATGTTGCTATGGTTTCGTCGAAACGAAACTCACATTATCATAGGTATTGGCAAGAAGGTGCACAGAAAGTAGCAATCCAGTACCAAGTTTTTCGAATCTAGAAACAGAGCCTCATCATGTGTCTTATCATGTGAGCTACAGCAGCAAAGAAACAGGAGCAAACCGAAGCTGCGTTTTTTTTCAATGATTTTAAGAGGTGCACATGAGGACTTCTATCGCTCAAATTAGGTGTGACTGAGAGAAGTATCCCAACCAGGAATCGGAAATCGGTCGACTAAAAAGGTATTCTGGATAAAATTGTTAAAGAATACCGCAGTAGGCAAGCAGTTACAACGCTGACATTGCAGCCACTTTTAGTGCTTCCCGTTGGGAAAAATATTGGACTACGCTACATCAAAGTATATCCGAGTAGTGTAAAGACCAGCAAAACGGTGTGAAACTTTACTGCACCAAGAAAAGGTTGGAGGGTATTGCTTTCGTCATGGACAAATCATCTTTGCTGCACATAGATTCCATTTCATTTGAAATCAAAGTTGCTTTCAAGTACAGAATGGTCCCCGGTGACTTGCAGAGTGCAACAAATGTGAAAGTCTTGCCTACTGAAATCGTGGCAACTGTCTGGCCCCGAATGGATAAGTGACTCGGTTCCTTGGGCAACTCCACCTGGGATTAAGCCCACAGACCACACGCATACACACGTTCCACTACAATAACCTCACGCTGCCAAACTGTTCATAGTTATTTGCTGTAGCATTGTCTTCTTAGATGCAGCTCCCAATATTGTTGGTCTTGGTGGACAAATTGGTTACAACGGTCGAGAATACCGTTTCTCGGCTGCTTCAAAAATCTTTTCTGCTAGTCTAGGAACGGTTTCTTACTATTCACCTGTCACTTTTTTGCACGTCGTCAGCAGTGAAGTTTTCAGCACCTTTGAAATATTTGCGGACGTCTGGATGATTGGTGAACAAGCTGAAGTATTTGAATTGAACATCCAGAAGAGCACAAGACAAGGTTCTGAGAGAATCCCGGTTGCAACTGACAATTTGTAGATGTCCTTGCCATTTTGTACTTCCTTCGCTCCCCTACCAAGCGGTACGACTTCCAACGACGCGAGACATGCCTTCTTTACGTCAGCCATTCTGCGAGTTAGTAAAAATTAACACAGAACGCAATAGCTGTACTGGTGTTTGTGAGCAGGATATACCACGAATATAGCGAGCGTGAGTTATAAGAGTGGAGAGAGTGGTAGCAGTGGTGATGTAATATGTTTGAAGAGAAGAATGCTATGGCAAGTTTCACTTTGCTGCAGGGGTAAAGTAGAAAAAGGCGAATTGACTTGCATCCACAAACGTGTGGTAGCACATAGCCCGCGATAATCTGTTTCCCATCTTTTCACTCTATTGGAGACGAGAGAGCATGGAGCATGCACAATGCTGTAGAGTTGGATGGGGTTCAGTAAAATAAATATCTACTTTACTGTAATCATAAACTGAAATGGCCAGCATGCCGCATAAATCGGTTTTATGATGCATGCGTTGCTGCTGCATTTCGATAGTACCGATAAAAGGAGTTTGTAGTCTCAGTCTCACTGTCCTTGTTATTGTTAGCATCTTGAATATGGTTAGAGCAGAATTCAGGCAATTCTGGGGTCAAACACCGCTGACGTAGCAGTACCGCAAGAGTGCAAGAAATTCAATGAAGTTCAGTCTGTTGAAGTGAAGTCTAGATGTCCAACGCTGAAAACTGTTTATAGGCGATTCACTGCACATTTATAGAGTACAAAGAAGGCGGACCGTCACTTGACTGTCGCGCTGCTCTCTAAATCGGCACGTTAACAGTGGCACGCGGTAAATTCCTACGGGATGAAAAATCACTGGAAGCAAGGGAGACTATTGTATATGTTGCTATCAGTCGACATCTTTTAATAGCACGGCATTTACTGCGAAAAGGATTCTAGAAGTGGGGATTATTCGCATCTCGTTGCTGGAAGTATTCCGTGACTTCAGCAAATAATGGACTAATATAATGATAATATCATTATCAGAACTAAAAAGACGTATAACGCAACTACGTGATAGAAAACTTCATCTCTTTAAGCTGTATCTTAGTGTTGGTCTTTACCTGATGTCCTTTCGTTGTCACCATCGATCACCAAGCATAAAATCGTCCACTGTAATTCGCGATACTGTCGTTTTCCAATGTGCACTGGAGGCATCCCGTTGTGGGAATGCGAATGCTACCTCTTTGCAGAGGTAGCTTGCGCCCTTCCACCTGGGACAACCACGTCCCCCAACCACATTAACATACAGAATAGGTCAAATGTTTAGAAACTTTTCTCCCTTTTGCTCAATACCAGTAAAGAGTGAAACCTTTCCAAATTCATGCGGAGAATCGTGTTCGAAGAAGGATACGCATCGTCTTCCCCTCGTTGCTTGCTGGATACACAAGAGCAGCTATTGTGATGAATGGGTACGCTGCAAAATGGCTGAGGACCACCCAACAAGAAAAGCGCTAGACTCTGACGTCGCAGAAAAGCCACCACGAAGAGCCCGAGAGAATAGACGGAACGTCATCGAAAAGGACCTTACTGGAATCAGCTCAAGGGAAATCACGAAGGCCACGGCTGAAGAGGCCTCGAATACGAGAGATGGAACCTGAAGGCGATGTCGCTGGATAGTGGCACAGCAGTGACGGTCACCATCTATACCTACGAACTTTGAAACATGGATGACGCAACGCTGGATTCCGCTCAGAAACACTGAATTTCTTTCTACTCTTCAGTAATGAGAAGACCGCATGTGGCGATATGCTACGCGAAAAGATTATGGATTTCAATCAGGGAATGCGACCTCATCTAGCTTATTCATCAAACTTAGTGACCTCTGACTACCACCTACATCATTTCCTACTGCATCTGTTGGAGAGCGAAAATTTCAAAAAGTGCTTTTGTGGCTTGCGGTCCTTTTCTGTTTCTTTTCTTCGGAGTTGCCATACTTCTGCGAGAGAGGAATCGAGAAGCTGTAAGAAAGGTGGGCACCTGTCCTAGTAACTATTAGTGATCACCTCGGTGTTCGGAGATCTCACTTAATCACAGAAAATTTGGTTCGGAATCTTGATTGAAGGGTCGCAGGATATTCATTCAGACCTAAAAGCTTGTGAGACAAGCTGTTTGTTGACCACCACTACCTCTGCGTGGGAGCCTGATGCGAGGCGCATCCAGAAGTAAAGCTAATGGGAGCAACCATTGCTTACTCCTATTCCACGAAGGGATCCATTCTATTTTGATGGGGAATAAGTTCGTTCGGTTTCTTCATAGAGCTTGTATTTGAATGATTTGTTTGTTGTTTGGCAAAGTGTTTGCATTCAGCAGAAAGTGCTCTTTCTGCTCTACAAGAATGTGTTATTCGTGTTATTTGTTTGTTAGTATAATTTCATTTTTTTTATTTTTCAGGCTTAGAAATGGAATACCCAGGAGGCAAAAATCAGCATTTTCGACACCTACTTTTCTTCGCTTTTCATCGCGGTCAAAAAGCAGCTGAAGCCTCGTGATAAATATATAGGGTTTGGGTTTACATATGGTTTGGGTTCTCTCTAAAGGGTTTGGCGATCTAGGCTCCGCCCCCTTGACACGCCCACTTGCTTTTGCGGAATTTTGATATTTTTCAAAATTTTTGCGTTTTTGGTCTGCTACGTGAAGCCCCGCCCACTGTGGGAGGCTCCGTCCACTCCCCGCTCACTTTCTAAAAGTGGTGCAAATCGGCAGTATAGAGCCTCGGCTTACAATGCAGCTTGTACGTCATGCCTGTTTACACGAGCAGATGTGCTTATAGGATTCCGGAAGGTTCACGGCCTACCTACGCGCTCGTTTACAGTCCTGTTCGTTGCGGATGAAGGAACGTGTCCGCCCCATGCTATTGATGGAAAACGGTTTTGGCTGCTCGTTTCCTGAACCGTTCTCCACCAATTGTTGAGTCGGATAAGCGACGCAGCTGCTGGAAAACGACTGGTACGAACGGGATGATATGTTTGCCGAAAGCAAAAAAAGGGTTGCCGCCCCGCCAAACGCAGTCGCGTGGACACGCCCCATCACCCGCAGTGAACCAGACCAGTTTGTACTGTTAAGTCACCTACGTACTTACAAAATCATGTCATCCTATTAATATATCTGCTTATTTTAGACCAGTTCAATTAATCACATTTTGTATTTCGAAAAATAGCAGCTTGAAACTTGTAAAAAGCCTTCAGCCTTGCGGTTCACTGCCGATATCGGCTAACCGGCTCATCACGTTGAACGTGTGAGTGCTGTAAGGCTATGGCACAAATAGCCATTGAGCTGAGTGGTCAAAAGTGGCCTCGGTAGCGTAATAGGGAACGCAACTGCCCGGTAAGCAGAAGATGCGGGTTCGAATCCCGTCCGTGGTCCGACTTTTGCCCATAACTCAGCATTCTTGTGATAGCTTTCGATCGCGTACTGCGGCGTTAAAGTTATCAAACAATAACAGCTTGAAACATTTGTATTGCTTGTTACGATTTTATCCGGTTCTCTACAAAGCAAGTTTCTCTATACGAGACTCAGCACACTGACACGTTTGCGCTGCACGGTAGTGCCTGCTGTTAACTTTGCGACCCCACAGCGTTGGTCAAATATGTACGACCCACTTGTTGGGCAATCCCAACGATGATGTGCCCTGTTTCTGTCTTCCAGTTTTGTAAATTTCGAAGTTTGGCTGAAACTTTGCATTAGGGGCACTTCATTCCACTAACGATGAATATGAAGATTGTTCGGAAAGATATTAGAAGCTGGGCGGCTGATCTCGTTACCCACAAGTTCTCACTAAGAAAGGTCCTCCATAACTACATGCTGAGAAGCAAACGATAGATTTTGAAGGCAATTTTGCGATTAACGTCAAGTGCATCTTATGGAGCAGGTTACCATCGATGACCACTTCGCCCGAGCGCTTATTACCACTGCTTGTAGGGTTAGCCTCAGCAAGCAATTTTCGAGCGGCTTTTTCGACTCTATTCAGCCCTGTGACCAGCGCACACTTTTTAGAGTGACCGGGAAATTCTGGGTTCCTCGGGCGACAATGAGCGTTTTATTGGATCTACAGAAGAAATAAATTTCTACTGTGGATACGCCATTATATTTATGAACGCACTAAATGAATTATTATTTGCAATGGTTTCAAGTTCGCTTCTGGAGTTCGTTGAAGGTGACCCAAAAAGTTGATCCCACGATCTCTAGCTCAGCCTGTGAAAAAACAAGAAGTGCAGCCACAGCAGTTGCTGAATCAAAGCTCAAGGTTTTCATTCGCTCGAAGAAGGTACACTTTAACTTTACATCTTTGCAAGTTATTTCCAGCAACAACAATAATCACAGTTACTGAATTCAAAGTACGATGAAGTGCTGGTCAATAAGACCAGGCATCCAATTGGAGAAAAGGAAGTACCAGAGAAAAAAAATCCTATTTGTTGCGCTCGACAACAGAGAACATTTCTGAGCTATTTATCATCGAGAAAAACGAGCTGCCGTGAATTATTTCAGGAGTGTTCAGGAGTACAAACAGGGGACCCTACAAGTGCCTCACAATGGCTAGAGGCTGAAATAGTACTGAAGTTGATACCTAAACTAGAGTCACCTGCAATAGCATAGTGTATAAGCTTAAATAGAGCACAACAAGTGTTGAGAACATCAATACCACTGGCACTAGACCCGTACTTTTGATGCAGTTTCTTGCTCCAATAAGCACTCAGAATCCCGGACTCTTTTGTAACAGAACAGGAGCTAGCGGACCTTCCCGAATGTAGTTGCGTGATCAGCAGGGCAAGATTGGCGAGTCTTTTCTACTTATTCATCGCCGCGATAAGTTCGCTATTCTCCTTGTCAGGTGAATGATGGAGGATAAAGCTCCCCCTGTTAATAAATCGTTTTTTGGGATGCGGCACCTGGTTTACTTCCATTCAGAATCGTAGTGGCTAATGTGATATGGCCTATACAACAACTTGCAAGGGCCAGCCCTCACCAGACTTGTCCGGGAGGTACAAGTAAGTCCTCCCGGACAAGTCTGGTGAGTTCCAACTCTCGTAATTTAGTTTTGATGAGAGCAAAAACTACAAAAGGTTCTGGATAAATATCGA